TTTTTTTTTTTTTTTTGAGACAGTCTCAAGCTGTCACCCTGGGTAGAGTTCTATGGCGTGACAGCTCACAGCAACCTCAAACCCTTGGGCTCAAGAGATTGTCTTGTCTCAGCCTCCCAACTCAGTCACAGGCACCCCCCACAACACCCAGCTATTATTTGTTGTTGTTGTTGTTGCAGTTGTCATTGTTGTTTTAGCTGGCCCGGGCTGGGTTCAAACCTGCCAACCTGGGTATATGTGCCTGGTGCCCTAGTCACTGAGCTACGGGTGCTGCCAGGGAAGTTTTTTTATCGCATGCTGATACTTTGCATGATTGGTCAGTTAAGAGTGAGACCACTTCTTGATTTATTTATTTTCAAGACAGAATTTCACTCTGTTACCCAGGCTAGAGTGCCATGGCATCAACTTAGCTCATAGCAACCTCAAATTCATTTGCTCAAGTTAGCCTCCTAGAGTGCTAGGATTACAGGTATGAGCCACAATGCATGCGGCCTCTTGTCTCTTACTGCTTTTGCCAGTCACATAAAGGGAACAGAGGACTATCTATAATGAAAAAAATAAAAGCATTCAAAGAAATCCTGAAGATTGTTAACAGTTTTACTTTGAAACTTTGTATGAGGATGGAGCAGACCACCCAAAGCAAGTTTATGTCTCTTCACTTGGGTTGGCTGAACTAAAAAATTCTGGGTGAACCTATGACGGCACAGTTCCGGAAATGTAAAGAAAGGCCAAAATTATTTGAAGAACTAGGGGAAACATTTAACAGTACATGGAAGTAATCAGATCTTTCAAAAACAAGGACCACTGGGATGTGACATGATGAAAGTAGAAAAAAAGTAGGAGTGAGGCAATGCAGTGGCTGGTAACAAGCTGAATCTGCAAAACAAGCAGAACCTGACCCTGGATCCAGTTGTCAAGTCAGAAGAGATTGAAACTAAAATTAAGGAGCTGATAAGTATCTGTAGCCCTATACATTCAAAAAACTGCAACGCAGAGGATGGAGCCTGTAGCTCAGTGAGTAGGGTGCTGGCCCCATACACCGAGGGTGGTGGGTTTAAACTCGGCCCCAACCAACTGCAATAAAAACATAGCCAGGCCTTGTGTCTGGTTCCTGTACTCCCAGCTACTCGGGAGGCTGAGCTAAGAGAATCACCTAAGCCCAAGAGCTGGACGTTGCTGTGAGCTGTGATGTGATAGCACTCTACCAAGGGTGACAAAGTGAGACTGTCTCTTTAAAAAAAAAAAAAGGCTCGGCGCCTGTGGCTCAAGCGGCTAAGGCACCAGCCACAGACACCTAAGATGGCAGGTTCGAATCCCCAGCCCGGGGCCCGCCAAACAACAATGACGGCTGCAACCAAAAAAATAGCCGGGCGTTGTGGCGGGCGCCTGTGGTCCCAGCTACTTGGGAGGCGGAGGCAAGAGACTCGCTTGAGCCCGGGAGTTGGAGGTTGCTGTGAGCTGTGATGCCACGGCACTCTACCCAGGGGGACAGCTCGAGGCTCTGTCTCAAAAAAAAAGTGGGAAGCAGAATGGATCAATGGATGGACAAGGAGATAGCCCAGGCCCTCAGGCTGCTAAGCAGGATAGACACAGCTGCGCTTTTGGATTCAGACAAGAAGCTTCCTGAAGTGGACATTGATTGATTCCAATACTTATTTATATTAAAACAGTCCTGTGACTTATTTGGCATTTCATGCTTAGTTCTTAGATGAGATCTGACTAACCACGTGTAAAATATTTATCCTGCTTTTAATACTATTAATAGCTTAATACTACTACAAACTAGAGTTTGTAATGCTCTTCTGTGTAAAATAGAGAAAATGCTGAATTGGAAAGAAAAGTCTCACCACTGATAAAAATACCTTTTCCTTTCTGGCATAGGAGCATAAGAGATTATGCTTTAGTGTTTCTGACAAGATCTTTTATCCTTACAAAGGAAAAGATAAGTTAAAGGGGCCAGGTGTGGTGACTCATGCTTACAATCCTAGCACTCTGGGAGGCCAAGGCAGTAGATTGCTTGAGCTTAGGAGTTTGAGATCAGCCTAAGCAAGAGTGAGATTCTGTCTGTACTAAAAATAGGAAAACTAGCCAGGCATGATGGTGCACACCTGAAGTTGCAGACACTCAGGAGGCTAAGGCAAGAGGATCACTTACGCTCAAGAGTTTGAGGTTGCTCTGAGCTGTAATGATGCCATGGCATTCTACCCAGGGTGACAGAAGGAGACGGTGTCTTTTGAAAAAAAAAAAAAAGCACCATTTCCCATTCTTTTCTCCTCTTCAGAAATTAGTAAAACTTTCATTTAGCCCTTTTCTATCAGGAAACTTTAAATATCTCTGCTTTGTAAATAATATGAATAACAAAAAGCTAAGCCATTTAATGAATGGCTATGGTCACATGGAAACTGGAGACTTCAAATACAGGGTCTCTTCTCTTAATTGGAATGTGTCCATTTTTCTTTTTTGCAAGCTAAAAGGAACACCATGACATCTCAGTATATAGGTGTATATTGAAGGAAAACATGGTTTTGTAACTTATTTTCATTTAAAAAAATTTTTTTTAGAGTCATCATCTCTCTGTCTTGCACTGACTGGAATACAGTGATGTGAACATAGTTCACTGTAGCCTCAAATTCCTGGGCTTAAGTGATCCACCTGCCTCAGTCTTCCAAGCGGCTAAGACTACAGGTGCATATGACTATAATTTTTTTAATTTTTAAAGAATGTTTTTATAGAGCTGTGTCTTGCTATGTTGCACAAGCTGGGCTGACGTGATCTTCCTGCCTCAGTCTTCCAAAACACTGTGAGTGCAGGCATGAGCCACCATGCCTAGCCTGTTTTGTGATATCTTGATACTCCTGCTAACTTTGTAGAGTTAGTTCTTACTGGATTAAAATAACTAAAGAACTGCACCATAATGTACCATTTATCATTAATAGGAGTTTCCACTTTCTTGAAGGCATTGATTGGGTGGTAGCTATTCCTAAGCATTCTCCAAATATTTCCTTTATCTCTTCTTCTGTAACTCAGGTTAAAAATATATTAAGCTGGCTTGGTGCCTGTGGCTCAAGTGGCTAAGGCGCCAGTCACATACACCTAAGGTGGCAGGTTCGAATCCAGCCTGGGCCCGCCAAACAACAATGACAGCTGCAACCAAAATAGCCAGGTGTTGTGGAGGGCACCTGTGGTCCCAGCCACTTGGGAGGCGGAGGCAGGAGACTCACTTGAGCCCAGGAGTTGGAGGTTGCTGTGAGCTGTGATGCCACGGCACTCTACCCAGGGGGACAGCTTGAGGGTCTGTCTCCAAAAAAAAAAAAAAGTATATATATATATATATTAAGCCTCTTATTTGATCTTTTGTTTCAAATACCATCTCCCAACATTTTGTCTCTCTGCCACATTTTTTTTGAGACAATGTTTCACTTTCTTGCCCTTGGTAGAGTACCATGGCATCACAACTCACAGCAACCTTAAATTCATGGGCTTAAGCGATTCTCTTGCCTTAGCCTCCCAGGTAACTGGGACTACAGGTGCCTATCACAACGCCCAGCTATTTTTTTTAGAGACAAGTTCTTGCTCTGGCTCAGGCTGGTCTCAAACTCCT